TTTCACTTTGACCAGGTGCCCAATATCTTCTGATTCTGAGAACATCACTATAATGCCTAGGTCTTATATTTCTAAAGTGTGGCTTTTAAAATAAAATCCTGCTTCTTAGTTTCAAGATATGGACATGTCACCTCTTGCAATGACACTGTCAACATTTAAGAGACATTTTTTTATATTTAGCTCTTTGCTTGAAAAGCTGTTCTATTGCTGCGAAATGACTGTGTTGGCTACAACAAGAGATCTAGTTAAATAGAAGCAGTTGTCTGTACTTCATTGTCCTAGGGCATTAATTACCACCATGTGTATCACCCAACAATGGTAGATTATAACTCATTTGACTGGAGTCCAAAAGACATCAAAAGCTGCTAATAGTGGATTCCTCAACCTTGGCTTGCATGAAATGTCTGCCAGAGACTCACTGACAGTAAAATGAGCCAGTGTAAATGAACCACAGTTGTAATACATCTCAATACTGAATGGTCATGAAGAGAGATACACCAACTGTATGCTAAGAACCTGCCTCTGTAAATGACAGGGAAAAGAATAAGGATTACATGGAGAACACAGAAAGTTTTCCAGGGAGGTAGAGGAAAGGAGATACCAGATGATAAAACAAGCAGTAAGGTCCTTTTTTTTTGTTAGTGAAAATAAGCTGCTACAATGAGACTCCACTGCATCCATATCAAAGAAAGAACTATAACTGAATGACTGTAGAAAGACAAAGGAAATCCACTGCTTGCTCTGCTTCCTGAGTATGTCCATAAATATATCCAAATGGCAATTTACAAGGAGCTGCAGTATCAATATAGCAATAGATTAATCATAGTCTATAATCACTCTTTTCCTCCAGTACACCCTTTGTCCCATCCTGTCTAGTGAACTGATAAAGTTCTCCAAAGAAACAAAGTTCATATAGAAGGCTTACATCCAAATTTGGCATTTCAGATGCATCACAGTTTCACAAATCCAGCTGTCATTGAAACCGGCTCAGCTGTAAATATATCACAGAGACTTGATACTAAATTTGTATCCAGTAGACAAATAAATTTGAAAATACTTAGAGAACTAGCTACTCCCTTAAAGTATAAACAGTGTTTCCACAATTTTTTTATGCTTACAATTATCCAAGTCTCCTATCTTTGGTGTTTTGCTTTATTTGTGCTATAGGTAATGTTGCAAATTTTGAAGAGTTTTGTATTTATTGTACTAATGCTTAACTGCAGAGCGTCCCAAATTCTGGTTGCCACGCCATCTCAGACAGACTCTGGTGAAAAAAGTGGGTGAGACAATCAATATTGTGATCCCTTTTCAGGTATGTGTCAGCTTCTATTTTGTCACAGTTATTTACTATTACTTCCCTAAAGTAGTTTCCATTATCAAGTTCCCATTGCTACACTGCTTTAGCAGTACTACGTAAGTTTTTGCCAGCAGTGTGTATGTCAATTTCTGAAACGCCGACTACAAAAATTAGAGTTTGCACATGAACAGAAGATCACAGTTGGCCCTATATAGAATTTGTGTGTGTGTATACAAAGAACAGCTTGGGCATTACTTTACGTGAGCTGAAGACGTGAAACACATGGCATGATGAGGATTATCAAGGGTGCACGCATGTAACTACACATACCAGCATGGCATGCACAAAATGGCTAAAATATACTCACAAACTGGCCTAGCATTGTCTTTGCATTTTCTACAGCTGTATAGACAACTATATGACTATTCATAAACACTACCTGCACTTTTTCAAATGCAAGACTACAATACCAATACCGTGCAAGAATTAGTGTGTGTAAGACAAAGGTTTTCTGTGTGAGACATAGGAGAAGAAATTGTAAATTACAGTTTCTGACTGTGACAGAGATATTGTCAGTAATAATAGATACATCATTTGAATCAAGGCCTTATTTAAAACTTGACGACACTAAAATTTCTCTGCTGTCAAGGGTTGACATTTATGAAAATGTAATCACTTATTAGTAAAGGGTTTTGAAATTCTCATATGAAACATGCTGGAGATTTCCAAAACATTTCAGCAAGGGAGACATGCACACATCACCTATATTCTTTTGTTTGGGTAGTACAAGCAGAAAAAGATTTCTAAGAGCAAAATCTATGTAAAATTAAATGCACACATCTTTTTTCCCCTGTGGTCACGGGGTTACATGGAAAGTTGTTTTTGCACAAAGATATATCTGATCAGTCCAGAACTACAAACCCACCCATGGAGCAACTGTCTCAAATTGCGTGCTTGCAATACTTCAGCATATTTACGTTTTTTTTTTTCTTTCACATTTCTTACCTCCAAATTGCTAAAATGACCTTTTTACTGAGGTCTAGTCACATGCAAAATTCAAGACTTTGCCTCTGATATCGCTGGGTTATGTAAGTCTTAAAAACATTTAATTAAATAAGGATATATTTTTTGCTGCTTTGATATCCAAGTTGAAGAAAAATTGCACAAATTTGACAGGCTGTCCCATAAGCAGAGGAACTGATAAAATTTAGCATTTCAGAGATGTGTGTCTTACGTCCCCTTGTGCTGGTTTTGGCTGGGGTAGAGTGAATTTTCTTCCTAGTAGCTAGTATGGGGCTGTGCTTTGGATTGGTGCAGGAAACGGTATTGATAATTTTAGGGTGTTTCAGTAATTGCTGAGAGCAGTGCATACACAGAGTCTAGGCCTTTACTGCTTCTCACAAGACCCCACCAGCAAGTGGGGTGCATAGTTGCTGGCTGAGGTTAAACCATGACACCCCCATATCACCACCTTCCCAGCATATTAAGCCACCTCCTCTGCTTAGATCTGCCTGACTGCAATATTCCCATAGATTTGCCAGTTCTTAGCCCTACTCCCCTAGGTAGTCCTAGCTGACATGTCCTCAGTTCCCCAGGCAGCGAAAGTACATGTAGCAACTAATCTGAAGCTTCACTTAATCCTATCTGATCATTCAGCTGTTGCCTAACAAAATGGATAAAGACTAAGTCTTCCCTGACTTTTCCTCAGTGGAAACACTATCGGAGGTTTTGGTATTTCACCCTGTCATCAGTTTTCACAGAACTACTAAGAAGAGATTTCTAGTGCTCTGTCAAATTTGGCCAAATTGAACAAACTGATTCAAAAATTACTTGAGTAGCTGGCTGACAAATCAAACACTGATATAAACTCTTGTCTCCTAAAAGATAAGGCTAACAAAAAAATGCTAAAATCTATCCATGGACACCGGATTTTACTCTGAGAACAAAACCAGAGGGCTTTAATTCAAGAGGTATTTTTGAGTTAATTAAATTTGTCATTGTGCTGAAATGCAGCTTTTGCAGTATTAAGAATTGTGGCTAGAGTTATTTAGAATACGTAAAACTGAGGGACTTTCAAAAAGAAGGAAATAAAAAAGAACATTTTCTTTTAGATTTTGAAAAATTTGAAGTCACTGATCATTTCCATTGGAGTAAAAGACTCTAAGTAGATACTATCACCAATTATCTAACTAAAGTGGAAGTCAGTGTCCCTCTCTTCTACTGTTTACAATTTCTGTGCAACCTTGCCAGTGACCTCTGCAGTCGCTACTGTGCCATTTAACACTGAAATTCTGTGCAATACCTTGTCAAGGAATCATGGGCTTAATGCTACTTGCAAATCTATTCAAACTTTTAGATCAAAATGTACAGAAAAGAACAAGTACAGCATTGTTACTAATCCTTTTTCTGTTAACTACATTAACTAGGTGGGACACTCTACTGAAAGGAAGGGAATCAGCACATTCTTGCTTCAGAATTAACTACATGGGCACAAGATTGAAGGGATGTTAGGTGCTGTTAGTGGATAAAATTCACAGTATTACAGAGCAGTCTTCTTACCCATCATATGTGTGTGAATATAAACATGTAAGTGCATTTAAATTCATTCTTCCCTGGCTGTGAACTCCCTGAAGTTTCTCTGGTGTGCTATTTAGCCACTCTGTCACAGCGTTCACTCTCAGATTACCTATTACACATTGCAGAAATCCAATCCTCCGACATATGCATTAGGAACATGCTTTCTATCTGTTTGTGCTTTTCACAGTCTATAAATATAAGAGTATATGAAAACCAACACTTTGAACACTTGTAATCTTTCACTGGCACTCATAGCACCTCAAAAAAGGAGGTGCTCCAAGTGAGCATAGCTGATGAATCACACTAGAACATCAGCAGCAACAATCTTGTAATCAGTTTGGAAACCTGCCAAGTATTTATCTTGACAAATTAGAAATCTAAATAAAAGTCTATGTAATTATACCATTTTAAGCAGATTAATTTTATTTTTAAAGTATTCCTCTAGCCACATATTTCAAGCAGACTCTTCATACAACTTTTAAAATATATACATATGTGGAAACCAAACCAGAGTCAATTCTTGTCAAGCTCACCAATAATAAGACATGGATATGAAAAATAAAATGCAGAATAACCCAAACCCTTTTATTGGTTCAAGAATTTCTACTGTAACTTCCAGCTGAAGAATGGAAGCTATCTCTTCCTCTAATAGACTTTTGCAAAGGTTCTATGAAGTGAGGCCAGGGTAAATGTACACTAGAATTGGACAAAACTGTCTCCTATCTATTATTTCAGAGCTACAGACCTGAGGTCACTATGTTCCTTGACAGAAAGCAATAGGAAAATAATTTACCAGATGGGGAAAATGGAAGATCCAGAATCATTGCTCATTCGAGGTTTATTATCAGCCCTGATGTAAAGTAAATAACATTACATCTGACAAGTTACACTACATAGAAAAGAGCCTCTATGAAAGTATAGCAATTTCTAGGTGTTTTAGAAGTCCTTTAAGTGTAATTTTGGACAGATGTTTGCCTGACTCTTAAAAAGGATTATTTTTTTTCCAATAACACCAAAAAATAAATTATGCTGCCACAGACTTTCTGAGCAAATACGAGGCAAATCTGAAATACAGGTGCAGCAACACACAAAGGTTCATTATTATTATTCTGCCTTTCACAGAATCATAGACTCAACCAGGTTGGAAAAGACCTCAAAGATCATCGAGTCCAACCCTACCGTGGTCACTAGCCCATGGCACTAAGTCTCATCCAGTCTCACCTTGAAAACCTCCAGGGACGGTGAATCCACCACCTCCCTGGGCAAAAGCTCGTGTCGAGGGCTGATTCTCACCAGATCGCAGTGAGGGAGCTGCTCTGCTCAGCACGAAACCTGCCCCAGAATCAGGTCACCTATGAGTGATTTGGCGCCGGGTGCCCCGGGCCCGT